TTTTGCGCACACCTATTTTACATCTAGTCCGAAACATGACGTCAATCCATACCGATCGCCCTCCGCAGCCATTGGTAGACCACAATAGATGTGGGCGGAATGGCTGCCCGTCGAACGTCAAACGCGGTATGCAATGCCACGCCTGCAAGGCCTGGTGGCATTTCAAATGCACGGGTTTACAGGACGACCAAATAAGCCGACTAGCCAACTCTCCTGACCCGTTTGTCTGTGCCAGCTGCCTCTACGTCAAGGGTGCAATGCATATTGCAGCGAAGAGGAGAGTCCCTCAAAACGGTACCCAATCCCCAGTGCAGATTCAGAAAGACCACTGTCAGTGTTCCGCTTTAATCGGGATACTCGACGCGAAATTAGAGCGTCTCTCAAAGGTACTGGAGGACTCAGGCGCTAAAAATGCAGCGACCTGGACGAAAGTTGACAAGGAACTTCCTTCGTTGAACCAATACCTCGCGATATCCATACCAGGCCCCATGGCTGCCAAGAAAGTCATACAGCTTTCTGACGCGGCTATAAAAACCGCCACAGCGTCTCTAGTGGACAGGCGCCTAAGGGAAAACAGACTGATAATCTGGGGGTCATTCTCCAGAAAAATCACGCCAACGAAGCTGCCACAGTCGATCCTTAGCAACATCCTCACCAAGGCCGATAAATCGCTCCACGCAGAATGGCTACGCCAGAAGGGATGTAAGCGAACTCTTGGACTTCTAGTCATTCTTTCATCCCCATCTGACGCACAGGATATCTTGAAGCGGGCTGGCAGCATTCAAAATGCCAACCCAATAATCAGGCGCCTATCTGAGGATCGTCCTCTAGACGCGCGTAAGCTTGGTCACAACAGGTCAGGGGTGGAAGCACGAAACAGGCTTCCACCGGGCACCAATTCAGCCGACCCCAAACTCATGACCAAGCCAATTGTGGTCATATCCCCCTGTGCTCCCGAAACCAGCTGCGTCTCCGGGCAGCAGTTTTTATTCGACCACCGCAGGTCTCTCGCCCGCCAAAGGCAGGGACGCCCTGGAGAAGGCAAACTCCACATGCAAGCAGCGTTCAAACTACGTGGAGCTATCAACGCTTATCTCCGTATCAGAGGACACAGCTGCAGCCGTGCACTCCCCAACAAAGTCACAACCTCTAAACTGGACTGAGTCCCATATGCCGGGACAAGAAGCGAAGCCAATCTCCAGCTCCACTCCGTCAAAAGTGCCTCTCTGTGTGTGGACAAAACCGTCGCACAGGACCCCGACAATCAAAGCCGTAAACATGACCACAGCCATCCGGAAAATCCCTCGTACATCCAGTTGTGCACGCTGATCGCTGGCAGATCGGGTGTGCACACAAACACGGAAGAAGAGCGACTGCAGCCAAAAAAAGCCATATAAAACTCGCCATACTAGAAAACTGCTGGCTGGCTTCAAGGTGCAGTCCTCCGCGAAAACGAGCCTCTTGGGAGCACCACCAAAATCATTACTTCTTGGTGCCACCACCCAGCGCTCATGGCCTCGCAGAGACACCAAAACACCTAAGGATCCAGAAAGGCGAAAGCTTGCAGCAAACCTTTGAGCAACAGCAAATCTGGTCGACGAAAAGTGGATGCTGAAAGACCTACAAACAGCAACGGTTGAAAATTTCGCCCATGGGGAAAAACCACCGTCCACCAAAGCGAACAGGTTCGAGCAAACCGAGCTCCTACGGAACGAAAAATCCTCGCAGGAGAAAGGCACCCCCAGAAACCACAAAGAGAGGAAGGAGACAACATCGCCACGGAGGCCCTTGTGGAGCCTAGGACTCACACTCAAACACGGTGCACAAAAATTAAGTCTGCTAACCAGCCTCGTCACTCAAATATTGGCACATAAACATCGGAGGCAGCAGAGAGAGTGTTGAAATGTTTGTCCACAAACTGCCATTTCGCCCATGGGGAAAAACCACCGTCCACCAAAGCGAACAGGTTCGAGCAAACCGAGCTCCTACGGAACGAAAAATCCTCGCAGGAGAAAGGCACCCCCAGAAACCACAAAGAGAGGAAGGAGACAACATCGCCACGGAGGCCCTTGTGGAGCCTAGGACTCACACTCAAACAAGGTGCACAAAAATTAAGTCTGCTAACCAGCCTCGTCACTCAAATATTGGCAC